TGAGGTCAGGGGTGATGTTAGGGTTGAGGTCAGGGGTGATGTTAGGGTTGAGGTCAGGGTGAGGTTAGGGTTGAGGTCAGGGGTGAGATTACGGTTATAGGGTCAGGGGTGATGTTAGCATCAGAGTTAGCGGGAGGATAGGAAGTGAGGCTAGGAGAGATGACCAGGGATGAGATTAGGGTTAGCGTGAGGGTCAGGGTCAAAGTTGAGATTATGGTTAAAACAGATAAACATTACGAAAATTATGATAATCTTTCTAATATTTAAGATTAATTATTCGTGCATAAAACCTATTATGTATACAACTTACGTCATTAGCCATCGGAAACCAACCATATATAAAACATAATATAATAACCATATATATACATTCAAAAAATTCAATATTTTGAGGACGGGAATAGCGAAAGCCACGCATGTCAACTTAAGTCTTCTTCCAATTAAATGATTTACCGTTAGAGGTAAGGGTAGACCGTACGGTGAGTAACGCCACTGAGCTGTATATAACAACACGATGGCCCTTCTGGTGGTAACATCCCAGTTGGCCTACTCCGATTTCACCTATTTCCCATTTCGCCTACTCCCATTTATATACTCTCAGTACGGACAATATTCCCATTTCGCCTACTCTCAGCATGGGTAATAGTGCCATTTCGTCGTAGTATTGATATTACAACAAATACCAGGAGAAATTAGTGTGGATGCCACTCCGTCTAATCTATTATAATATCTTATAAATTATTATATGTATGCTAATCAGAACCATATATTACATTTATAAATGATTATTTAGTGGCCAAACTGATGGTAGACAAAATGGGAATAGGGTGGATTTTTAGGGTAGCCGAATTGGGAGTAGGCAAAATGGGTGGAGACCAACTGGGAGTTTTGCTATAGACGAAATGGGAATTTCGCCGTAGACGAAAGATGAGTAGGCCAATGGGGAATGAGTAGGCAGGCGACGTACACGATACAGCACAAACACGATTCCGGGAACTAGAGAGAAAAATTCCCAGAACAACATACCGACAGAACTGAAAGCTCTCGTCAGTCTGCTGAAGGCGAAATTTTCGTAAATTTTCCGCCATGAAATAATTTAGTTACATAATCGTATATACTGCGGATTGCTCTCTCTCTCTCTCTCTCTCTCTCTCTCTCTCTCTCTCTCTCTCTCTCTCTCTCTCTCTCTCTCTCTCTCTCTCTCTCTCTC